AGAAGCAAGGGACTTCTAAGTTCAGAGGCCCTCTGGGCCCTGGCTTCTCAAAATGTGGTCCACATACTATTCCCTGCTTCATCTCCTGGGAGCTTGTTAGAAATGCAGGGTCTCATCCCCACCCAGACCTGCTGAAACAGTATCTGCATCCTAACAAGAGTCTAGGTTCTCTCCTACACCTCTGAGTTTGAGAAACCTGACTTTGGAGGTGTGTTTGGACTGCCACTTTACGATACCAATTAAAAAGTCATGGACCAGAGAGGCTTTTGCTTAAGGAATGTGCCTGAAATCACCCAGCCAAGTGAGTAACAGAGGAAGGACATGAGCCCAGGTCTCCTGCAGCTCAGGCCAATGGCACTAGAGGCTCAGGGGGCTCCTGGAGATATTGACCATCACAATACTGTAAAGGTCAGACCACAAGCGTCTTGGGTTCCAGACCACACCCGTGTTCAAGCAGACTGCTGGGAGGAAGAGGGGTCAGAGGATGCTGCAGCAGCAGCAGGAAGCCAGCTTTGAGTAAGAACACACAGCTGGCTTGTGCAGAACACATCCTGCTGACCTCTGGAGATGAAGTCAGACGCTCTGTGTGACGAGATGTGCTACAAACATCAAATCCAAGGTGGAGAGATCAGTCAACATTAGCCAAGAAGAAAAGACAGGGAGCCAAACAGCCCATTTGCAGTAATGAATTGAGCTGGACTAGAGAAGTCCGGAATCCTGACACTTGTCATTTGGCTACATTTAAGGAATCATAAAGACTCATGACTGGAAAGTAACTAGAAAGTTAGATGTTCCAACTACTCACCATGCCCTAAGATCCCAGAGAGAGGTTGTCTGGCCTCACTCGCCTCAGTTCTGTCAGCAGAAACCTACTCCTTACCTTCATAATGTAGGCCTGCTTTGACCCAGAAATTTTCATTCTGAGAGTCAGGATTAAGGAAATAAATCCCAAGTGTGTAAAAAGCTACATGCACAAAGATGTTTCTTACAGTGGAATGTGTAATAAAGTAAGTAACGAACTTAATAGTTTGTTTAGAGATTATAACAAGAGAAACAACTTATACACCCTTGACTAAAGGAACAGTTCCCACCTGGAAAACACATTCTCTGAGCACCTGTTTTCTGCAACGAACACAGAATAGGGTAAGACACTCACCTTGTCAGCCAGCTCGGGAGGATTAGTCCTGACAATCAATAGGGTGACAGATGTCAGAACCACATCTCTCTATACCAAGGTCAGCCAGATCTTAAATATCTTTGGTTTTGTGGGCTGTGTGGCCTCTGTTGCAATGGCTCCACTCTGCTACTGTAGTATAAAAGCAGCCAAAGATGATATATAAATGAATGAGCGTGGCTGTGTTCCAATAAACTTTTATTTACAAAAACAGGCAGTTAGCTGGACTAGCCTCGGGCTATAGTTTACTGAATGCTGATCTCTATCCTCACATCTATTCATTTTAAATGGCAAAAATATTTTGAACTATCCTACACGTCTAACACAAGGAAATGATTTAATATGTTAAAGCATTCATCTGATTCACTTCATCCATAGATACTTACTGAGTGTCTGCCTATGCCAGACACTGCTCTGAGTCCTGGGAAGAAGTGAGGCAGTGAGTGAGGAACACTGTGAATCAAAGGAATATGCCTGAAACCTTACGAGAGTCTGCACTAATAGCGAATATCCTTCTAATGCTACATGAAAAGAAAAATACAAAATTGGGTATAAAAATAAGACCAAATAGTGCTTTTATATTTTTTTAAAAAACACACAAGAGGAAAAAAAAACAGAAAGAAGACTAACAAATTGTTGCTAATGTTTAACTTTGGCTGTTTGGACCAGCCCTCCTCTCTTTACCTGAATTTTCCAATGTCATTATTTGATTACGTATTGCTTTTACAACAAAACATTCCCTCCCCTCTGTATTTAAAAGGGAAGGCTTGTCTTGGTTTAAGCTAAGGTCTTTGTCCCTCCTACTTCCACCTGTGGTTCCCACCGCGGACCCTGAAGGCAGCTGGAAAAAAGCCAGTCTGCTCACTTCTGGATGTTCACACACACGCCCAAGCTGAGCCTAAGAGTTCAGCACCTGGGACAGCGCCACAGGAGCCCACAGGGATGACAAGTAGGCAGCAGCAGGCGGGAGCCCCTGGAGGGCACGGGCTGTGCCTCCTCCCTGGTCCTCCTGCTGAGTCCATTTGAGACACGTGGGCAACACCTGTCAAAGCAGGAAAGAGTGTTGTCCCCTGAGCCCAACTGATGCAAATGGAACGAGCCCGGTGACCCAGCGGGGGAGGATTGTTGGTAGAAAGGAAGTAAAAACAAATACTGCACAGATCCCTTAGCCACATTACTATCTTGGGAGAGACTCGCAAACATGCCAACACCAGTCACAGCAACATCTGCTCCTAATTGCTTCTCCCCCAGCATTTTCAGAGCTCGTCAGCTGGCATCTGCCCTAGGAAAAAATTCAGTATTTTTAACAAACGCTTAAATCAGATGGCATCCTTGGTGAGCAATTTCTTACGTGTTTGGTCTTTGAGGCTAAAAACAGTGAATGCACCCATAAGGGACGTGGTTGTCAGGAGGGGCTGGGTGCTCAGGAGGTCCCACTTCAAACGGTATGACTAAGAGTTTCCAGTTCACAAGGCACGTTCAAATGTTTTCTTTCACTTGTCATGTATTTATATCCTAAATATAAAGTGTTTTGGCAGGTTTTTTTTTAATGCCACTGTGTCCACTTCTTTATGGGTAATTTCCTCTCTTTTCCAAATATTTGTATAAGAAAGTTCCTTTGTAAAAGAAAAATGTGTGATTTTTTTTTTTTAAAGACTACATTTATCTATGCTCTCACTTTGAGTACTTTAAGCAAGGTCTCATATATGGACAAAACTTCCCATTCTTTGTCAAAAAAAAAAAAAGTCCCTGCATTTAGGCTCAAAAAAAACAGCAGCCCCTTCTGCCCATCAGGAAAGGGTCTTCCTGTGCCAGCCAGTCTGAAGCAGGAAGGCAAATCTGGAATCTAGGCCTTGGGGGCTCTGTGTCACCCTCCTCCCTCTAGAACACATGGACAGCCTCTACTCAGAACAGACCTGCTTGGACGCTGCACCTGTCTAGGAACAAGGCAGGAGATGTCCACAAACCTCCCATGGCTCCCCACTGTTAAGACCAAGACACACAGCATTGAAAGACTCTCTGCTCAGGTCACCTTGCTGTGTGGAGCCCATGCCCAGCCAAGTCCCCACAGACATCCTGTGTTCCCACCTCCTATATCTGCACTCTCTGCATGACTGCCTTCCTCCATCATTCACTCATTCAGTTAATCATGATTCACACAGTGCCTACTATGTGCCAGGAACTGTTCTAGAAGCTCGATGTCAGCAGCAAACAAAAATCCCTGCCCTCAAAGAGCTTACATTCTAGAGAAGGGAAACAGGTAAACAAATGAACACATAAAATCCATAATATGTCAAATGACAGTAAATGCAATGGAGAAAAATGAGATAGCATAGGGGACTAGTGAATGCTAGTGGGTTGCAGTCAGGGGGCACCTCACTGGAGAGGTAACATGTGATCAGAGCCCTGTGACAGGGGGCAGCAAGCCTCTGCATAGGAAACAGGCAGAAGAGCCTTCCAGGCAGAGGGAGCAGCAATTGCAAAGGCCCTGAGGCAGGAATGTGCTGGTATGTTCAGGGAAGGCAAGGAGCCTAGTGGGACTGGCACTGATGAGAAATGCTGGCCTGCCCCCAGGCCAGAGGATCATTTAGGTCTTGTGGACCATCAGAGACATTGGCTTTCTTTTACTATAAGATCAGAGGATTCCAACAAGAGGAGTGACATGTCTGAGTCACACTGTAACAGACCAATCTAGCTGCTGTGTTGAGAACAGCCTGCAAGGGGCAAGGGGGAAGGTGAGAGATCAGATGGGAAACTCCTGCAACTATCCCAGTGAGAGACAACAGCAGAGCTACAACAGCTGACGTGGGGAAGTGTCCAAGTTTTAGAGAATTTGCTAATGGTGGGTATGGGGATATGATGCGAAGAACAGAGACAGGGCTGATTCTGATGTTTTTGGCCTGAACAACTAGGATAGAGCTGCCATGTAGTAAGTAGTGATGGTAAAAGGCACAGCAGGTTGCAGTAAAGGATGAGGATGGAAATCACAACCAGCCTTTCAACCCCAGAAACAGTGACTCCTCCAAGAAGCCTTCCCACAGCAAGCTAAAAGGACTCACCCCCTCCCTTACTCTCTCTCCCAAGCATGTATGCATGTATACGGGTACACGCACATCCCAATTCTCTGTACCAGAGTCATCTGTATCCACACATGATTCCCTTGCATAACCCAGCAGCTGTATCCACACATTATTCCCTTGAGTAGCCCAGCAGATTCATTTTATTTTTTTATTATTATTTTTTATTATTATTATTTTTGAGACAGAGTTTCACTCTTGTTACCCAGGCTGGAGTGCAATGGCTCAATCTTGGCTCACGGCAACCTCCACCTCCTGGGTTCAGGCAATTCTCTTGCCTCAGCCTCCTGAGTAGCTAGGATTACAGGCAGGCACCACCATGCCCAGCTAATTTTTTGTATTTTTTAGTAGAGACGGGGTTTCACCATGTTGACCGGGATGGTCTTGATCTCCTGACCTCGTGATCCACCCGCCTCAGCCTCCCAAAGTGCTGGAATTACAGGCATGAGCCACCACGCCCGGCCTGCAGATTCATTTTATATCATCTGGAAGCATTTGTGCACAGTAGGTATTCAACAAATATTTTTAGTAATATGCTGCACAAAATTACACCTATGATATTTTAAGTCTGACAACTCAAGAACATTCTTTCAAAACATCTAAAACTTATGCTTAGCACTGATTAAATATTAAGTGGCAATTATTCCACCTCAAGCGTCCTATATATAGATGCTGACCTGCCCCCAGTTATTCAAATTGTTGAAGCAAGCTCTCCTGTGGAAAGGCCAAGTTAGGAAAATGGCTGTTACCTTGCTGGTCCTTATATCCCAAGCTTTCATTTCAGAGCTGAAGCCTCCACATAAAAAAATGTTGTGGTCTTTTGGATGGAATTTCAAGGTAGTGATTCTAAAGTCACTTCGACCACTAAATAGCTGGGTTCCTACAACATAAAAAGAGAAGAGAGAATTAGAAAGTACTTAAAGGGTCATGAAACAAATATCTTAAAACTAAGATGCCATCTGGTATGGGGGTCCATAGCAAACACAGCTCCCCTGGGCCCGATGTGGCCTCATGGAAACTTTCTGGCAATATGACAGTGGTGGCAGCAAGATTTGCCCTTATTCTCTGACTCTCTGGCCAGCCCACCCTTGACTAGCTGAATATCCCCTCCTCCTGGGCTGAGCTTAGACGGGTGGGTCTGTGAGTGCCACCTTTCACATGTGCTGTAAACATGACATGCATTAGCTCATATAAACCACACAACGACCCTATGCCCACCTTACAGCCAAAAATGAGGCCCAGGAAGGTCATGTAACATTTCCAAGGCTGCACAGTTAATACAATAGATTATTTATGAAAGAGTATAAAAACCAAAAACAGGATTGCTCCAAGGTGATACCTTTCAGGATCAGCCACCTTATAATAATGGATGAATGGTTTGCTATGGAGCATGGCAGGTGGGGTGGCCTGAGACACTGGGTGATAAATGAGAGTGGCCATCGTGGTGGCCCAAGCAAAGATTGGACATAGTGGTATGGACCATCAGGAGGTCTCCCTGGCTCTACAGGACACAAGGCAGTCCTTGTCCTTTATAAATACATCATAAACTGTTGTCAAGCATTTATGTGCATTATGGTAAGTGTGTGTGTGTGTGTGTGTGTGCTCGCATATATATATATATATATATACACACACACATATACATAAATACCCACACATACAATGTGAAAAATGTCTTTTTTATCACTATGATCTTTTAGAGGTAAGCTATATAAACTTCAAACACATCAATCATTTGGAGCAGGTTAAAGCTGGTCCTCCTTCCACTACCCAGTACAGCTCCCATGTCCCAGGGCACTGGCTGTCATTCCTGTCTGTCCACACCTCATCCATCTGAAACTGCATCAAGAAGGCAGACCAGCCTTGGGGGGTGTTCTCGTTCTTGCCATGGGAGTCTCTGAGTGCTGGCCCTGTGCACGTCCCCCACAGGCAGGGCTTACACACCAGGCACAGCACCTCCTGCACGCCACCCAGCCAGAAACGTAGAGGAGGCTTCCCTCAGAGGTGCCACAAGTACTCCCACAGTGCAGGAGAAAGAACCTTGACTGGCTTGTACATACAGAAACTCCCCCACTGGACTGAGCAGTGGGCTACTTAGGGACACGGGAAACTGGTGGCGAAGAAAACCATAAAGACACTGAGGTCTCAAGCATCACTTCCACTCGCAGGAACCCAGGGAACAGCACTTGCTCATTCAATTCAGAAAGCACAAAAGGTTGCCCTGCTTTGTGTTCTGTGACCCCACACATTAGTGAAGGGCTCTACCAGCTCACCAGGTGGGGAAATGAAAGTAATCAATCAGTACTCACGACAGTCACAGCGGGAGGCTTTCAACAGACCCAATCTGTCTAGATTCATGGTCTCCAAGTTATTATTGTTTGACAGTATACCCCATCCATGAAAAACGTAAGGCACATATCACCAATATATAGACATTTAAGTCGTATAATGTGCTTCTGTACCAACACGTTATGAACATTTTAAAATGCCAAAAATAGAACACTTTAAAGGATGATACAAGGATAAGTCAATATTTTAAAATATATTTTAATACACTCTTATTAAGAGGATCAACGAACCTCTCTGAAATCATATGAGTTATATAATACTATTTTTAGTGAGAGCAACAGAATTGAATATGCTTCCATTTTTCTTAATGTAGGGAACTGTTTAGAACTCGGTTATCTGAATGTAGCCTGGCTGCAGGTAGCTTGGTTGGTCCACTGAACCCTATCAAAGCTGACAGAGTTTCTTTCACGCACAGATGCATGGACCTAGATACGAGAGAGTCACCATTGGCCACGTGGAAGACATTCTCCACTTCTTTTTTTTTTTTTTTTTTTTTTCCATAATTGAGATTTTGTTGGTTGAGGATCAGTGCAGACATTTCAATTTGTACACAATTCTTAACATATGTAACAAAAATCTAAAAAGCCATGTATTGTAATTCTTTTTTAAAGTTATTCCAGTGACTTTCCCACGTAAAATTTGGAAGCAAATTTTCATTAAGAGGCTATCAAGTACCTGTATCTTCACATGTTGATAAGCTGTTACATACGTCTCACAAATTCACAACTGAATAGCAGGTACACTACATAGTCAAATGTTTAATCAGCCCAGTAACAAAGTTATCAGGAAAACAGGACGACCGCAACCACAGATGTTCCCGGGTGCACACAGTTCTGACAGGGAGAGCCGCGATCAAGGCATGGCTTTCTTTAGGAAACAGTTCTACTAAAAATCAACATGAAAAGAGAAGTAATTTTAAAATGTCAAAGACATTAAATGCAGGACTGACTCCGTATCGCCATTTCATATGCTTTGTATCATAGGATATAAAAACTAACCCTCCATCTATGGAATGTTAAGCTGACACCCGAGACAGTCAAAGCCTCCCATAATTCAATATCCCACACTATTTTCTGGTTGTACCAAAAAATAAACAACCAGAAAATGATTTCACCTCTTAAAAAAAAAAGCATTTACACTTAAAAAATGGGATGAGGTGGGATTCCCTCCTTCTTAAAAATATTTCCAGAGGTACTAAAAAACTTGCATTTACAAAATAGTTGATAAAAAATATTCCTCTGGATTGTACAAGAAAGGAGACAGGAACCACTGCTAAGACATGGTATATGGGATTCATCAGACTTGGCTTCTTTCTCTCCTGCTGCATCAGAGGCTGGAGCTCCTCAGTTTTCATTTCCCCGTTTTCTGCAGGTAACTGTTCTTTAGTTTCTGGGTTAGCCACTTCGGCCTGTTTTCCCTTTGCTCCCCTCTTCCCTTTTGTTTGCACGTTTTAGTCTGAAGATGTATCCTTTGCTGCCGCCATTTTCCGGCTGCACTTCCACTTCTGCAGGAGCAGGTTTAGCTGACAACCACACCAATCTCCTCTTGGGCATCCTGGTGGTGGGGAAGGGTGCGTGCCGGGTGCCTGCGGCACCAAGAGCCTTCACGAGGCTGGGCTGCCTGGACATTTTCCACTTCTAGCCACCACTGATGCAAAAGACTTTGTGAACATTTTGCTAGTAAAGCTCCATTTCCCCTAATATCAAATAATAGCTCCTGCCACTAATCAGAAGGTTAATTATTGCATTACCATATTTTTAGCAACCCTACTCAAAATCCACTGAAATTTTCATTTAACGGATTTTAAAACAGATTAGAAAAACACTGTCCCCAGGTTAAGGGTGAAGATATTTGAGATTTTAATAGGTGACACATCATTTTTGGCAACAAAAATCACGTAACAATGGAAACAATTAAAAACTTCTGTTTTCAAAATGTTCTCTCCATAGTACAACTTTTTTAGAAAGCAGTTACTCTTTCATCCTTTGTTCAAGCATTACATTTGCCATGATGGATAATAAAGTGTGTTGATTTTTTTTTCTAATATCTTCCAGGGGCCTACAACTGGCAGTTACTTATCAACAGAGAAAATTTTGGAAATACTTGACTTTTTGTAAATACAGAGTCTATACCTCTTTGAGCTCCACAACCCCCTTAACTATTTTGCTACAAGATTCACTGCAGATGGCACAAAAGATTTTCATGGTTACCCTGTGTCATCACAATGTTGCCAAGAGCTGGCTGCTTTAGGCCATATAACCTGTATGGAGAACGGACTATAAACAACATCCTAACTGTCCAGCCCAAGGGGAGTAGTGAAAATGTGGTTTTCTGCCTGATGGGATGCTGAAAAGCCACTGAAAACTGGAATCACAAAGAGCGATCCGCAGCACGATGGACGATGCTTGATTCCCGTTCTTTAATTACAAGAGTATTAAATGCGAATTGATACACAGCAATCCCAGCCTTTTTGGCACCAAGGATGGGTTTTGTAGAAGACAATTTTTCCATGAACTAGCGGTTGGGATGGGGGTGCTTTCAGGATGAAACTGTTCTACCTCAGATCAGCAGCGGTTAGTTAGATTCTCATAAGAAGAGCGCAACCTAGATCCCTCGCAAGCGCAGTTCACAGTAGGGTTCCATTCCTATGAGGACCTGACGCTGCTGCTGATCTGACAGGAGATGGAGCTCAGATGGTAACGTTCACTCTCCCACCGTTCACCTCCTGCTGTGCGGCCAGGTTCCTAATAGGCTATGGACAGGTACCAGTCTGTGGTCCAGGGGTTGGGGACCTCTATTGATATGGACGAAGACTGGGAAGAGATTCACTAAAATGAAATGAGTTGTTCTAGAGGTAGTAAGATAACTTTTTAAATTATGCTAATATATTTGTTGTAATACTGTTTTTCTAATAAATAAAGATTTTTTTAAGTCATCAAGGAAATGAGCAGACTTATGAGATGATGGTCTTTCTGCTATGTCCCTCTCATTAGATCAACAGACAACACTCTCAAGTAAACCAACAACCTGCTTCTTGGCGAACTGATCTAATTGGAAATCTGGTACTCCTCCTTCCCCCAAAAAACATACTCTTCTTTTCCTTTCCTGAGATGCACCTGCAACTCAAGGTGGTACATAAAGCCTTCTACATAGAGCATGGCAAACCATACCTTTTAAGCTACAGTTGGGGATCAGAAGCCAACCATGACAGGCACAGTTAGCAAGTCCCCCTGCTCAGGAAGCACAGGCAGAGGGCTGCCCCCTAGGTCCCCATGTGGCTATGCCAGAGACTCAGAGCAGCAATGCGGCAGCACAGAGACCCCAGGACACTCACTTCAGCGAAGTGGCTGGAGACTGAGGGCAGGGACCACCATCACATCCCCTAGACAGAAAAGGCAGGCATGGATGCCACTGGAGCCCCCACACCACTGAGAAGCCCCAGGACTGCCAGGGTCTTTCTCCCCACAGGGACAACTATGCTTATTGCTGAGAACATTCAGTTCAGGCTTCTTGCTCACTTGGAATTCATTG